TGTTTGCTTCTAAAACAAATAGCATTAATGACACAATAAATAGGATTTCGAGGGAAAAGGGATCAAATTTTATAGCCATGCTGCTTTTCCGTTTTTTTTTTCTTAAACTTTATTAAAATAGTGAAATAAATGTACATACATACAATTATTATTAATTCCATCGTTCAATTTTGTATTACATACGTATGTACTTATTAAAATCCTCCTATCGAAGTCGAAATTCAGTTTAAAAAATAACTTGTGTCCTAATTTTTAAACTTACCATAAATTAATATCGATACATTCGCTTAACAAATAGGTCGTTCCAGATATATACGTATGAATCCATACAAGCAATTTTTATTCAGTTCCCTGTCAATGCCATATAGCATTTAGCATTTCCCTCCCTCAAACTGAATATCTACTGTCTGATGTTAATTTGACTAATGACTTTTCTCGATGTATTTGCGGTTCTCTGAGGGTCCTTTAATAGTCCCGTCTATTTATACCCATATAGTCCACTTGGCTCCAGTTTGTCTGATCCTATATACTCGTATGTACTTTGTAATATATATATATGTATATATATTAGAAAGTTGTGTTAGTTACACTATTTATAACTCAAGAATGGCTATTGGGATATGGTTGTAAATTGACAGCGAGATAGTTTAGAACCAGGAGATGGACATAGAATATTTAATTCTGTTCGATTGAAAAAAAAAGCTTAATTAATTCTAATATCTGGTCATTTATGGCCTCTGAGCGGAATAGAGTTTTTCCGGTCAGCTTTACAAACATCACAAACACCTGAAGTATCGTGGCCGAAGTCGGAGCCAAAAAGTAGTATTTATATAAAAGAGGTAATTACATTGACGTGATTTTAAAAAGTTAAAGAATTAATGTTTAGGAATCATGGTAGCGGCCTACTATTAGTAGTAGGGGATTTTATGTTATAATGGCAATTAGTTATAAAGCCAATTAATATTATTGATTGATGCGAATCTAATCATTATATACCAAAGATAATTATCATATCATACATAGTATCATATATCAAAAAAAAATTTTCGAGAAATAAAATTAATTCTTGAAAGACAGAAAAAATATTGATACCTGTCGCAAACTTTTTCAAAATTAATTATGTTCACTTGTTTTGCTAACAGACGTAATCAACAATAATATTTTTCTTCTCTTCTTAAAGCAAATGCGTTACTTGGGAAACGGAATGCACAAAAAATAAACTCTCTTAATTATCTCTCCTGATTAATTAGCTTAATGAGAGTATATATATGGAGGCAACAAAATATTGGAATCAGAAATAACAAAATGAAATCACCCCATTGTAGCTCACATCCAAAGCCGTCTGAGTGGTTAGCATGAGAGCAAAATAGACATACAAGTTATATTACAATAATATAATAATTAACGATGTATTTTTTCTATGGATATTATGTATTGAGAAACGTATCATATGAAATCATTGATTTTCTGGGGGCTTATCAAATTCTATGAAAGTTGATTCCTCTGTTATTTTCAAAGCATATTGAACAAAATTTTAACAAAGCTAACATTCCGCCTGAAGTATTTTGTGTTGCTTTTTTTAAAAGTTCTTTCATATATTGACCAGGAAAATTCACTAGGTTTAAAGGTATCTACAAAAACAATACAGTTACAAATCTGAAACGTACAATATCCCAAGAAATTCTAGATTAAGAGAATTCCCCTTTTGATCTACGCATTTGATTTTTTTGTTGTTCAATATTATTTTCACAGTAACAAAAATAAAAGATGACAAACTTTATATAAATAGTTCAATACATCGAGTTAATATTCCCTCATTCCTTTTGTTAATGAAATAAATTATGAATACTTTCAATAGGATACTGTTACAAAGACAATAATTTATCGATTGAATTATTTCTTTTCAGTAATCATTTTACGAGTAACTTCATTCGTCACTTGATTTATATGGAAAAGAGTTATTTTACTTTACATTTATCCTTTAAACATTTTTTGTTCTAAATATCTCGTATAAAAATTTCGATTTAAAAGTTTCCGTCTATGTTATTAAATGTTATAAAGTTCTTTGATATAAAATTGTTGTGTAGGCGTTACATTTTATACGAGGGTTTCATTCCGTAATTATTCTAGTTATGTCCTTAAATGATAAAATGGTATATAATTATTTTATTCACAAATTTTTTTTTACAATCAATTATATTCGATAATTATTGATACTTCTATTTAAACCGCGAGATGAAATCTTGAAACAAACTAAATCGAGATATTTTTCATGTACTTTATATAAATCTATTCTAATATCATTCGTTTCAGTATTAAATGAAATAGTACCATAATTTTCATACAAAATTTTACTGTTACAAATTTTATTAATCCATTTTAAAAGTACAACATTCAAATCTATTCACAAGCTTTAAATATACATAGTTATCGGAGGTAACGTTGTTATGCGTTTTTTAGATTCATTTTCCTACACTAATGCATTTTCACAATCCTTCTTACAGCACGTACTATAAAGCCTAGCCGTTTTAGGCCTTTTGTATCCTTCTGGTTTTAATCCTTTGAAAGAAACTCTATTTAGTATATGAAATATAAAACATCTACCTCATTATGTTAGATAAATTAATAATTATTATGACAATTATGGAATACAAATATTTACTTGCAATATAAATAATAGCCCACTCAAACTATAGCCTCACAAACCAAGATAAACTGCAGGCTTTGTTAAAACAGAATAACGTTATTCATTATCTGCTTTTAACAGACAACGCGCTTTATCTTGAAATTTTAACACGAACCAGCACAGCTTGGTAAAGTTTGTATCAATAAAACTTATCCCCTTTAAGAGTGCTCTAGTAATTATATTTATGTACGTCGAAATTCAAACAGATAGTCGTTTAGGTACCACCCTTAATGTCTGAAATTGATTTATTCCTGTCTGTGTCTGTTGGAACGAGGTATTGTATTATTTCTAAAATCTAATCCGATCTCAGACCGTCGAGGGACGGCTTTAGCAGGAAGTTAGTATTGAACAAACGTCCCTAATATATTTTATTCTATGCATGTTTCATATAAGGAACTATCCAATAGAAAAATGTTTATCATACGATAACCAACTTTATTTAGTGATATAGAAATTTTTATTGTTAAATTGATGTCACATATATATATATATATATATATACCTATATATATATATATATATATATATATATATATATATATATATATATATATATATATATATATATATATATGTATATATATATATGACTGGTGAATTACTATCGATATTTGAGGACGTGATATTTGACGATCATATATGACAAAATAAAAATTAATATAACATAAATATTAATAAACTTCTAAGTAAATTTTCCCAAAAGTTATGTAATTAATTACGCATCGTATGAACACCCTACAGATTAGGTATACACACACACACACTCGCGCGCGGCGGCGTCTTGTTGTATCAGCACGCCGCCGCACGCGTCCACACTTGGAACACTTGGAACGTGTCAACACTTTATTTATTTATACGGAAATTTGGTCAAAAATGAAGTACCTATTTTTTTTACATAATTCGAATGAGAATCATGTACCGAGTATGCTCCTTAAATATTGATAGTAATTCACCAGGCACCCTGTATATATATATATATATATATATATATTAATTCGTATGAAAGAGAAACATAAAGAATAACTATGTAATTAATATTCAGATGACAGAACCATTTCGTGTACACTTCAAATCCCAACGTACTTTAGGTAATCAATATTATTTTCATTATAGGGAATAAGACTTTATTTTTTTAAAAATTCAAATCAATTATTTATTTTATTTATAATACAGTCTTTTGAGGTTTTCCAGACGAATATTATTTTTATTGTAAATAGTAAGACTTATTGTTTTATATGTGTTTAAGTATATTTTTGTCTTCAATTTGCACCGAGACTAAAAATGGTTAGTATTTTGTACCACCAATTATTTTCTACAATGTAACTGAGTTGACCTTAAAATGTTCTAACTCAGAATTCCTTTGAAAATCATAGTATTTTAATAACCAGATTGAATTGTTATTAATGGCAATGAAGATTTTTTTCTTACAAAATATTTGTTGTGAAAGAAATAAACATCAAAATTTACTAACGAGAATGCAAATAATATTTATTATCGTATTACTAATATTGTGAGAAAATTTTATTCTTATAAAATATATAGCTATTCTTAATAAATATGACACAAGGCCGTACATGAGATCTTACACCCCTAATCTTACAGAATTTGGCAGATTGCCATATTTGAATTCAAATCTTGGATAACTAGAAATATTTAAAATATTATATATTTTTTATCTTCATCTATATTTTAAACTGTTATTTCAGGTTTTTATTTTTTTTTTGAAATAGAATTGGATTAGCTTAATAAAAAAGAAAAATCTTAAAACAGCTAAAATAATTATTTAATCATTGTATTTCAGCTTATTTAAACTTATTCAAGAAGTCAAAAGCGTGATATCCAAGGAAAGGAATAAAATATATTGAATGTACTCTAGATTTCAAATGTCAGGAAATTTTATAAACGCAGTACATAAATACCACTCTAAACAGATATTTATTTTTATATCGTAAAAAAGTCTGCAGAGAAAACTTGATTTAAATTATTGGCATAAAGAAACAATTGTTCCAATTATTCCACATATTAAATTGCCTCTAAGAAAAGTAATAAATGTTTTAAATATATTTAAAAACTTAAAAATATTATTACACATTAAACGTTTAATACATTACATAACTAAAATGATTTCAAAAGATATTAATATACTACCATTATTTACTTAGGTGCCCTTCAAATATGTTACTTTCCACGTTAATTACCAGTAAGTTACACCGAAGCGTCATTATATTTAATATTAAACAGTATTTAATTGAGCATGACATTACGATAATTCAAGACAAAAAGCCGCGACACAGGATAATAGTCACAGGTAAGGCTGGGTGGTGTTATCAAAGCGGGTGCGAGACGGCGTCGGTGGTGGGGGGTTTTAGGGGGAAATTCACGGCTCCATCCTATGCTAGCGAAGCCTCCACTACATTCGCGCGCCAGCTACCGTCGCGCATCCACGCCCGCGCTCGGTACGATTACGTTACGTAACGCTATTTACTCCGACATCTGTTGAGTGCCACGGCCACAGCTCGTGCGGCACGCTTGCTACACCGCTGACCACCGCGCACCAGTCATGTCTAACACCACGAACACTTTAGACCAACAAGATACTGCTGTGGCATCCACGCATCCTACAGGCGATACGTAATGTAGAAAGACCTGCGACCATCAAAAACTACTGCCAATCATCCTGCCACATATTTTTTAAATTATAGGTTTATATAGTGCTTTCGCTTAAGAGGACGTTGTGATGTTACAATGATAAGACTGATGGTTTTACTAAAAGCGGTTTGTAAACTTCGAGCGCGAAAAACTCGAAGGCCGCATTGCTATTCTAAAGTTTAAGCTATTGCTGAAACAAGCTTTCACTGCCGTCTAAGCCTTCCACTCTAGCGCGTTAAGTTAGTTTATAAGGAGCCCCGGGGCTTGACGGTTATTTATTTAAGTAGCAGGGAGAAGTCACCCTGCCAACCGCGAGGTTAGAGGTCCACGAAGCGATAGTCATCTCCAAAATTCGCGACAACATCAGCTCGTGGGTGCTGTGGTGGCGTCAACGCCATCTTCGGATGGGCGCACCGCAGACCCCTAAACAAATTGAAGAAGATGACTGCGTGCCTCGCGTGGCCGTAGTTGAGGAGATACGTCAGCAGCCAGACCGCAAGCTGGAGCGACGACGAGCGCAAAGCGGCCCGCGGCGGCGTGGCCTTGAAAATGAGTTGGAGGGTGAGCGACGGAGACCGAGGCGCAGGCCTAGGCAAAGGTTTGTTTATTCCTTCTTCCTAAATTACAATACCTTTAAAACGTTTGAATATTTAATACCTTAATCATAAAAACCGATGGACAGATTCTCTCATACATAAATTGTTATTGTTACATGAATTAATGATTTGGATTCAGACCAGTTTAATTTCCCATGCGATTTAAACGAACTACGCGTATCTAAAAAATTATAATGACTGCACAGGATTGCGTGATCTAAATAAAACATAGCGAAAGCTGCGTGTGAATAGCGGGTATAATTCGACCGATTTAGTCCTGCGGCTGTTTTGACATTGAACGTTACTCGACCTAAAAATGAGGCAGTAAAGTTTCACCTTGGACTTGCGAAACAGAAGGACTGACGCACCGACCTCCGGCTATCGATTTGGAGTACTGAATCGTGACCCACAGTACGGAGTCAAGTTTTCAACAAGTTTGGTTCAAATGTTTGCTTAGCATCGTTACTTTCGTGATTAATGAAAGAGCCCTGTACCAGTTACTATTAAAATTATTATATGTGCGTGCTTCTCTTGTGTCATATTTAAAAGTATAAAAGATATTTTTTCTGATAATTTTCTGCAAAGAATAATTTTTAAATTAGTTGTTCACTTACGGAAAAGTATTAGTAAAAATTAGCTAATTTTGGTATTGTACTTCCCTTGTATGTTTTTTGCGCTGTTCACCAAGGAGACATTTTTAAAAACTTTTCTGACAGCGGCAATGAAACGAAGCAATACACGGAAAAGTTATTTCAATTTAAAATATACAATTTTATTTCTCAAAAAATATTTGCTAGTAGCAAATGTATATGTTCTTTTTAAGTTCGTAAGTAAAATGTGGTTTTGAAAGAAATTTAATATCAGCTGTTAATTATTTAAAACTGGAGTGTATTAATAAAAAAATGGCTTGGTTAAAAATAAATAGGTCAGCATATAATTTGATGTTCATATAAATAATTTTGTTTTATTTCCGACCTCAGGGGTTATTAAGTTTCTTATATACTTCATTAATAAAAAATAAATATACAATTTTCGTTCTTTATTTTGAGCATACTATTTGTGATTGAAGTATTTTAACCATGAGTATTATATCATGTTATGTGATTAAAGAGCGAAACTCTTGTTTTCGTATGTTTGTACCTTGGCTGCAAGATGAAACCTTTGAACTTTCAATATACGACGGACAAAAGTGTGCCAAGTGCATTGAACTCCAAACATTAAGAAACATCTGTATGTTTGGAACAGATGTGAATTTTTGGACATTATTATGTCTGGGTTATTTTATTTATAGGAACATAGACTTGCCAAAAATTGTTTGATAAATTTGAATAATAATAATATCGAATATGCCACAACTTCACAATTTCAAAAGAACTTCACAAAGAAACTGTTTTCATTATATCATTCAGTGTTTCGCGTGTTTGTAAACGCACCTAGTATACTTAAGTTAAACTACTTTTGATTTAAAGGAGAACCGTGGAAACTATTTTGCTAACAGGTAGAAAATTAAGGTCAATAGGTAATTGTTTACTGGTTTGCGGCTAGTAATTATGTTATATTTTGTACAACGCCGTTGCTACCAACTTGTATTTGCCTTTTACGTTGGTGGAAAATAATTAGAAGGTTTTTTACTTTTATAAATCGTGCAATCAGAATAATGCTTTTAAAAAATTTTCACCGTATTTTTTCGATACGGAGAATTGAAAGTATTTTTGTGAAGAAGAAGTAAGTTTTGTAATTCTGACGAGAAACGGTTAACTTTTCCGTTGAGAAATAAGTTTATTCTTTGAAACTTACGACAAATTGTAAAAGTCGAACAAAAACAACAACAATTAATATTTTCGATTTAAGTATTTAACATCTTATAACTTATTAAACTAAATGTAAGATATTCTAGTAAAGGCGTTATAAAGTTAATGATACATATGACAATAATTTATTGTTTTTTTAATGGTTTCAGCAAAAAATCGTTGATTTTACTCATACTTGTAATACATATTTAAAAAATTATGTACCAGTATGGCGATTTTACGTCGCAGAAATTTAATTACTATTGATTTTTTCACTTTTCCAATCGCAAATTGATATGATTTAGTTATACCGTCAAGAACGTGCCTTCACATTTTTCAACGGTTTAAATTTTAAAATATTACGATATTCGTTAAACATATTTCTGTACAACATTCTTTATATTTATCATTGTTTATTATTTTTATTTTAGCATAGCATAAAGGAATGTACACTACTAAATATTAAATTATTTATATCAAGATAAATAATTTAATTTATATGAATATAACTGATATAAATGCTAAAAATATAAATAATGTATTACAAAGATTTTTTTTAAATATCTCGAAAAATCCATATGGTGTATTATAATGAGTTATATCTTAAAAATTATAATTTTTGCTCCAGTGTACAATATATGTAAGTTAGAATGAAAAGGTTCGAAAAAATCGCGGCATTCATGAAAGCCCAAAGATCTTTAAGCGAATCTGTTTTATCCAATCATACTTAATTAATTTCATCTAATAACAAAGGGAATATAACAAAGCTTTTTCTTTTAAGTACTTTGTTTTATTCGAACACGAAACGAAAGGATTTTTATTTTGTTACACATTATTTGCATCATGATATTACTACGTATTTAAACAAACGCGATTACTGCATCAATACTTCAAGATAATAGTGTACTGAAGCACTATAAATGAGAGCTGGTGATGGTCTTATTGCATTGTTTTCTTTATATATGGATATTTTATTGTGATTTTTTCAAATTTTGTTCGGCTATCAATATTTTCAGTAATAGAGATATTATTTAACTGAATGTTTGTATGGCTATAAATCAAAAATATATGGGAAAATTATGTTTTTGGCCGCGTTTCAACTGCTTGGTCAAATAGATTTCTATATTAAGGTAGGTGAAATGAGATTTTTTTCTATCGTATAAAATCATGGTGGTATAAAAATACTTCGATAGATAATATTGATGTTAATAAAGAAGTTTATTTTACCCGTTGACTCACGTTGCTTGAAAACTTTGTCCCACGTACTCTTCAATTAAAATTTAATGGTATTTTATATTTTGAATTTTTGATATTTTATAACAAGCCATCAATATCTCAAAATATTTGATATAAGAGCCAAATATAAAAGACACTAAAAATTCAATTTATTTTACTAATAAAATATAAAGATGTTTATTTATTTTTCACTAAAAGTCCGATATTATTTATTTGAAAAATATTAAAACATCCGTTCCATATTAAAACATTCGAGTTCATAAAAAAATATTCTTACCAAGGTTATGAATAATATTGTTACTATACCATTTGCAACTAAATATGAAATACGTACTTTTATAACCTTCTATACTTTTACAAAGTGATCATTAGCATGGCTAACAATAATTATGACAGACGGAAATTATATTGGTTTTGTTCTAGTCACAAATGAACTCCCCATATTTATTAGTACATAAAGAGAAGTTTTCATTTGATTACAGTGCCCGTGTAAAAGATTAAATATTATATTCAGCTCGAAAAAGTTTGAAGCTTCATATTATAATAATGTAATGGGTAGAAAACTACAAGTTCCTTTTGAATATTAAAATTAAATTAATGGACCGTACACTGAATTGTTAATATATGTAAGAGTCGCAGCAAACAAAACGCTGTGAAGCCAACTTCTAATTGAATGTCAGGGCGGTTCCCCATCCCTTTAGAGTTTAGTTCATATTTTAATATTTTAAACATTTCAGTTTTAGCTTTTGTTTTTATTATTTAACAAAGGTTGATCATTTGTTTGTTTTACGATGCTCACTTCTATCATTACAAAAAAATATTTCCCATAAAACCATTTCAACCTATTTTAGTTAGTTTAATTACCAAATTAATGATGTAAGTTTTAGTTTAAGCTCGAGACTTAGTCCACGTGGACTTTGTGTCCTAACAAAGATATGGTAACAATCCGCCTGTGAAATCTATATTCTATAGTCCTTGCGACGTGACATTGTTCAAAATGCTATTATTATGCCGTAATCTTGCGAGAGCCATACTATATCAGAATAGGTTGTAAGACATAATATGTATGTTATTATAGTTTCTGAGCTTCATATAAATTCGTTTAGTCTTTTTTTTCATGGAAGAACAAACATTTGTATATCCGTACATCTATATATTCGTCCATCCTTACATTCGTACATATGTACACAATATACTCATACCTCTTTATAGCCATATTTGCGTACATGCTTACATTTGTACGTCGGTACATACGTACGTGGATATATCCGAATATTTGTATCTCTATTTATCTATATACCGGTTGCTCAATATTTGCTTACACCCACATATTCATATATCCGAAAATTCTAATATCTATCTATATCTCCGTATGTGTATGTGTATATCCATAAATCCATACAACCGTATTTCTATATATCCATATAGCCGATACATGTGATAAATAAAATCGTAAATTGCCCCTTGAGCGGTGTATAGTGTTACAATATTGAGTTCGGTTGCATAATTATCGTATCATTATTTTTCAGCATATTGTATATGGCTTGGATCAAAAGGGTAATTTCACACGTATAGATATACTTTGTTAAGTTGTTGTCAAGTAAGATAAAATTGCGTTCAGCAATAAAGTTCCACTTATTTCTCTGTAGAAGCTCAAAATAGAGCAGTCCTATTAAAATCTATTTCTGATTTGTCGCTTCATTGGTTGAAAAGTATATTTGTTTGACCCTTGAATCAAATATAACCCTTATCATTGTTATTCATCACAGATTGTACGCTAAATATAATTATTTCTACAGATGCTTAATTTAGAAATCTACAATTGTAGTACTACGAGTTTGTAACGTAATTTAGTACAGTTAGAAAAAAAATATTGTAAGTAATTTATTTCGCAGAATTCTTAATATGAAAGAAATATTTGTATTCTATAATATATTTGGATTATGTTACCGTACCTCAACATATTTGGTATGTTATTCTGGGTTCATAACAAGACCAAGTTGAATAACAATAATACGGATTTAGTCAGGGCAATCTTAGAATTTTTCGACTATACAGTTGCGGGATAAGACAACCTCGATTTACGAAAAATGAGAAGCAAATATTTAATGGTGTATGTTTGTATTCAACTACGTAGCATGATTTTTTTTTGTACTATCAACGAAATGAAGCGTTGGCACTTAAAATTCATTTATTAATTATTTTTTTCAAAAGCCTTCTTCTGGTAATTAATTTATTTTGTAAGAACTGTATCTTTTTAAATGAAAATATTAAAAGAATAATTGTTTTTAAGACTTGTTTGGTTTTGAGTGAATAGAAAACAGACGTTTAAATTAAATAAATATTTTTCGGATTAATTATGCGACTTTGTTTTTGTAAAAAACTATATACTCCAGACGTTTTGGTTACTTTTCAGCAACAAGACGAGATG